ATCAGAGGAAGGGACTAATAAGGGGGTCAAAGGAAAGGGAGCAGAGTGGACACTTACCACCTTAATTTGTAGAAATAAGCAGGGTATAAAAAGAAAGTGGGGGGAGTTTGACCAAAAACTCTACCTCAAAGGTCATGATGGTATTACTTCTTGATCAACAACCTTTACTTACTTAGCTTTCATATACTAAAAACTGGGGTGGTAGGGGGAAAAGTTTAGGGGTTTTGAAAAGGACCAAGTAATTTTTTTTATCCTAAAATTGCTTTAAGATCAAAGCAATTTTAGGATAAAAGAGAACAATTACTAAGATTCAACCGGTTTGGCTCAGTGGATGGAGCTTCGGCCTGCAGTCCGAAGGGTCCCAGGTTTGATTCTGGTCAAGGGCTTGTCTTGATTGCGGGCACATCCAGAAAAGATTCAGCCACTGAGTTTTCAAAGGTTTGCCATAGGGCCGAATTCAATGGTAAGTTCTTTGGATAAGATGCACATTTACCAAGTTGGACATTGTAGCCATTGCCATTTGAAGTTTTGAACCTCCATTCACTGGAAACTTACTGAATACTTGACGACCTCTTGTATTTGTCTTGTACTGGTTTTAACTTTTGAAATACTGAACTTTTTAATACTGTATGTCTTATTCCCTCCAACTAAGACTGTAAGCTCTTGGAGAGAAATGCCTGTTTTATGCCCCTCACCCCCATTCCTTACCAAGAGGGTCAACCCTGAACTGAACCTTGAACTCTTTCAGTTTTTTTTTGGAATGCCCTTGGGATATGCATTCTGAAAATGGACACATGTTTCTAGTGAAAATGTAATGGCCAAAAGCCCAGCCAATGTAAACACATTCTTCACTTTAATGACAAAAGACTGTTTGGATTTACAGAAGAAAAAGAATGAATTTATTTTACAGTGTGTTAAAATATTGGAAACGAAGCCGCTGAGAGTTCTCTGGATTCTATGCGGTATCATAGTGCAAAGCCCAGGCCTCCCTGTCATCCTTAAAGCTGAACAACCGATTCCAGGCAATATAGCTCCCTACACCTACACCTCTACCCTCACCCTCACCCCCACCGCGTGGGCACTGGAAGCTGACAGTTGTTTTGCATCAGGGTCTGCACCACCAGGTTATAGACCAAATGCAAACTCCGGGCTTTTCATCGGACAGGCCCCCAATGGGAGGAGTGGAGCCTCAGGCAGAGGAGCCACCCCAGAGAGCAGGCAGAGGCCGCCTTCCCAGCATTCTGCTTCTGAAGACAACCCCAAGTACCAGAAGTGCATTTGTACATGGACAGAACGGTAAGGCCGAGAGAAGGCCGGGCACATATGGACTGGGGACATTCCGAGCAGGAGAGCGAGGGCACAGACCACGCAGGGTTTCGGAGTCCACCTGCGGCCAGGATGTTGCGTGCTAAGTGGTACATCTGCTCCGGAACCGGTGGCCGCGCAGTCTGGCCTGGCCTGGCTTCCAGGTCCAAGAGAAGCAGGTGGCTTTGTTCCCGGAATGTGAATGAGGGAGCCGAGCCGGGGCTTAGGAAAGACAATGTTCCCAGGCGGGAGCTCGGCATCTACGCCAAGGCTTGGACGGAGGGTGACACTCACTACCCAGCTTCCCGGCCCAAGCTTCGGAAGGACGGAGCCAGAAGCCCGCTGCGGAGACTGCCTCGATGGCCGGCACCCAGCGCCCTCGGGAAGCCGCGGTGCGGGCCCCGCCGCGTCCCCCAGCGAGAGCCGCGGCTCCAAGCTCCCGCCGCTCTCCCGCGCAGCCAGCGCCGCGTTCCATTTGAAAACAACACCCACGTGCGCCGGTAAACAAGCGCGCGCAGCCGGCGGGGCCGCGCGCTCCCTCCGGGCGAGCCAGTGCGGCGCGCGCCCGCCCCGCTCCTGCACGTGTCGCCCGGCTCCGCCCGCGCCGCGCGGGCGGCCGCGCAGGCTCCGCCCCCTCGGCTGGTCGCGTGCCGCCCCCGAGCCCCGAGCGCCCGGGCTCCCAGGCCCGAGGGCCCCCGTGGGAGGCCAGGCGCGCTCCGCCGGGCGCTCCCCAACTTTTCCTCCTCTTGATGCTTCCGCTTCGCGGCGGGACCCACCGCCCCAGGTCTGCTCCTTCTTTCCCTCTCGTCACCACTCCAGCCCTCCCGCGTCGCCCTCCGGGTAACTTTCCCTCCGCACGCGGAGGGCTGGCTTCTGGGTTCTCCTCTCCTACTTCCCACCGCTCCTTGGAATTTTTACTCGATTGTTTATTATTTGCTGGAGGGCGGGGGACGGAGAGGAGCGTCCGGGACCCGGAGGATGTGGGCCGCGGCCAGTCAGCGCGCGGCGTGGCTTGACGAGTCCGCGGCGCAGCGAATGGCTTCGCGGCGTGGCGCTCCGGGGTCACGCGCGTGTGGATACCATGACATCATCTGTTTGTACGCGTCCACCTAGCTTGGTGCAGGGGCGGGGCCGTGCGTCACTTGAGTGACAGGGCCCTGCGCCAATTCCGAAGCCCGGAGTTGGCCGGGTGGGCGGGCTCCTGCGTAGGCTGAGTTGGGCTTTTTGTGTGTGTGTGGGTGGGGGGCAGGGGGGGCGCTGCGGAGCCCGTTTTAGACTCTTATCTCCAGTGGAAGGATTTAAGAAAAAAAAAAAATTAAGTTTTGATGTGCAAGTAGCATGTAGTGCATCCTTAGTGCACAGATGAATGATTTAGACACTGATCATTGGAAAAAAGACTCGCAAAGAGGTATTTTTTTTAAAGTAAAAAAAATGCACAGACGTTTGCTGTCATTTGCAAATTGGAATCAAATTATTTCTCATTCACAATTGTTCAAAATCCGCTCTTGCGTTTAGGAATGGGGGAATCATTTGCCTTTTTTTTTTTTTTTTCTTGAGTTAGTTATACGTCTCCCCTCGTTTGCCACGAAATCCATGAAAAGTGAAACACGATTGCGGTCCGGCGCCCCGGGTTAAGAGATTCAGCGCAAACCTCTTGGTGCCGGATCAAATCTGAGGGCATCCGCTTATCCAAGTCCCGAAGGCTTGCTTGACCAACATCTTCACTTGTCAGTATTTCCACGCCGAGGTAACCCTTGCCTTCTGCGCTCGGCATCTTATCTCGGGTGTTACTCGGTGTCGGGTTCTACATGGGAATCGGACACCAGGGCGTGTACCCAGAGCCCAGCGCAGGACTCTCTGGACAGGGACCCTGGGTGCCAGGCGCCCTGCCCCGGGCCAAGGAGACCCATCACCTGCACCCGCAAAGTGTTTGGGGCTCTGCGCTCCCTCTCCCTGCTCCTCCGGGGCCCGCACCGCGCTGTGTTGTCGCGGAGGCTCCGGGGCAGGGAGGAGAGTCCCGGCGGGGAAGGCAGCGGGAGCCCGCCGGGACCCCCACACCCGCAGCCCCGCGGAGCCGCGCCGCGCAGGCGCGCACGGAGCGCACAGGCACACACGGCCGCCAGCGCTCCCGGCCCGCCGCCCAGCCCTCCCCCTGGGCGGAGACCCACCCGCCGTCAGCTTAGGTTGAGGCACCCTGCGTGTGTCTATAACTTTGTGCAGCCGCCGCGGCGGCCCTGCGCGTGCAAGGGAAGAGGAGGAATGTGGAGGAGGGCGGCGGCGGCGCGCAGGCGGGCCGGCGGTTCCTCGGGCGGGCTGCGGCGGCGGCGGCCGGAGCGCCTCTCCTCCTCCTTCGCCGCGCCCCGGGCCCGCGCGGGAGTGCGCGTCCTCTCCTCCCCTCGCCCCTGAAGGGAAGGAACCGAGGTAGGCGCCGGAGCAGCGGTGCCGCGGGGCGGCCGCCGCCTTCCCGGTGACTCCGGATCTGCTTCCGAGCGGGGCCGGGCGCTTCCCTTTCCCCCTCCCCGTGGCTCGGGCTGCGCGCCCTTCTTCCCCGCGCGCTAGCGTTTTTAAAGGACTTGTGCGAAGAGGGGGGGACACTGTCAAGATGGCAGCAGCGGGAGCAAGGAGGTGAGGAACGTGCTGGCCCGGGCTTTCTTGCGATCCGGGAGACTTGGCGCTGCCCGACCTGTTGGAAGATTTATGTTCTGACTTGCACCCTCTCCTCTCCCCCTGACCTTTCCTGGGGAAGGGGAGGAGGGCAGCGCGTCCGTGAGAAAATTAAACCACACAAAACCCCAAAGTGCCCTTTCTGCGAAGCTCGACCCTTTGCGGACCCCCGCCAAGCCCCCCCTTCCTCCCATATATATATTTTTTTTTTTCTAGAAGTGATCAGGGCCCGCCTGCACCCGGATCCGCGTTCGCCCTCGCGGCCCGCGGGCGGAGAGGGGAGAAGGAGGCGGCCCGTCCCCTTTAGGAGGGGGCTGGCAGGGGGGCGCGGTGGTTGCAGGACCAGGGATGGGGGAGGGAGGCGGAGAGGAGCCGGAGTCGCCAGACTTGGGCCGCGGGAAGTACTTGAGGACGGGCCCGAGCGAAACATAAACAAACGCACGCCCGCTCGCCCGCCCGAGCTCGGGCTCAGCGAGGCTGGGCTGCGCCCGCGCCCGTGCCGCCCCCTTTAAAGGCGCGGCCCGCGCCCCTCCCCCGCCGGCCCCTCCCCTCTCCTGTGACCCCGCCCCGTCGCCCCCGCCCCTCCCCATGCGGCCCCGCCCCTCAGGCCCCGCCCCGCCCCGAGCCCGGGAGACCTGCAGCCCCGGCGGCGGCGGCGGGGGGAGGGTGCCACCCCGGGCGGGCGAGCCTGTCCATTCGCCGGCGTCTCCCCCGCGGCCTGGCCAGGGGGCGGTGTCTGCGGCGCCAGGTTCGGGACGCACGTCTGCAAGTCTGCCTGCTCCTGGAGGGCGGACCGGGGCGGTGCGGTCGGGGAGCTGAAGACTTGCCGAGGACCGAGCTCCAGCCCGGGGTAACCGACTCCCCTTTTCTCTCCACTCGCATTTCCCCAGGCGGCGGCAGTAGCGGCGGCGGCGGCGGCGGCGCCCGGGAGTCCGAGCCTTCGCAGCGGCCCCGTCCCTCTCCCGTCGCACCCCGCCCGGGCCGAGAAGGGAGCGCGAGAGCCCGAGCCGCGGGGCGGGCGGGCGGCGAAGATGGCAGAGGCGCCGGCCTCCCCGGCCCCGCTCTCTCCGCTCCAAGTGGAGCTGGACCCGGAGTTCGAGCCGCAGAGCCGGCCGCGCTCCTGTACGTGGCCCCTGCAGAGGCCGGAGCTCCAGGGCAGCCCGGCCAAGCCCTCGGGGGAGGCGGTCGCGGATGCCATGATCCCCGAGGAGGACGACGATGAAGACGACGAGGACGGCGGCAGGGCCGGCTCGGCCATGGCGATCGGCGGCGGCGGCGGCGGCGGCGGCGCGCTGGGGGCCGGGATGCTCCTGGAGGACCCGGCCCGGCTGCTGGCGCCCGGAGGACAGGACCCGGGCTCCGGGCCGGCCCCCGCGGCGGGCGCGCTGGGCGGAGGGACGCAGTCGCCGCTGCAGCCCCAGCAGCCGCTGCCGCCGCCGCAGCCCGGGGCGGCGGGGGGCTCCGGGCAGCAGCCGCGGAAATGCTCGTCGCGGCGGAACGCCTGGGGGAACCTGTCCTACGCCGACCTGATCACCCGCGCCATCCAGAGCTCCCCGGACCAGCGGCTCACGCTGTCCCAGATCTACGAGTGGATGGTGCGCTGCGTGCCCTACTTCAACGACAAAGGCGACAGCAACAGCTCCGCGGGCTGGAAGGTGCGTACCCGGCTCGGGCGGGCGGTGGTGGGATGCGCCGGCCTCCTGCGCCGCGCCTGGCGCCCTCCCCAGCGCTTCGTGGAGCGGAGCGCGCCTGCCGGCCTTGGGGACTGGGCTTAGCAGGGAGCCTAGGCTGTGGGTCTTTGGGGAGTTTTGTGTGACCCCAAAGGAAGGGTACCCCGGGGCGGCAGAGGGGAAGGAGGCTCCTTGGAAAGTTTCGGGTTCTGAGAAGGGGCAAAAGGGACTTTGGAGAGAGAAGGACAGACGAACGAGAGTGCTTTTGCTGTGTTCACCGGACAGCGCGGAGCAGGTAGGTCCGAGGCCAACTTTGGAGTAGAATGCACCCTACAATGCACGCGAGGACGTGGGGGTGAGTTTGGGACTCGGAGCCTGGAGGAGGAGTTGGATCTGAGTTTTCCAGGGGCTGGGTGCGTTCCACAGACATGAAGCTATCCTAGGAAAAGCAGTGGTTGCAAACATTTCGCTAGTGGGCTCTTTGTGAACACCTTTATTGCTCAGTGACTCTGTCCCCAGTAGCCTCTGAGATGTTCTGGGGACTGGAAGAGGTCAGCTCTGCCATCTCAACGGCGTGGCCGCACCTGCTGCTCCGGCCCAGGCCTGGACTCTGGCCTTGTCTGCGGTGGGGTGCAGGTGTGCAGGCCTGGAGGCCCCGTGCCTCGCTCAGGCCTTTGGAAGGGAGGTTTGGCGTCAGGGCTAGGCTGTCATGGCTTCTTCCAGTAAGTGAACCTGAAGAGAGGCGCTCTACTGTTCCTTTTCAGCCTCTTGGGGGCACTGGACACGTGGTAGGGAGAGAGGTGTGGAAAGGCCTATGATGTAATGACTTCCTGCAGTTGGGCATCGAAAGAGATTAGCTCCTGTGCCCTTGCTGATACTCAGCTGCTTAGCTCCTCCTGGCCCCTTTCCCTCAAGATATGAATGTGTCCGTGCCAGGCAAAAGACTCCTGCGCATTTGGAGATACTGATTGCTTATCAGTTGCTTATATTTGCAATTAGTTGCTGCCTTTTTTTTTTTTTTTTTTTTTTTAAAGAGTTAGTTGCTTCCTCCTTCTGTCCCTTCCTTTATTGTCTTTGGGAAGCCCTGTCTCTTTCTCGGTTTCAATAGGTGTATAAAATAACTTGTAGTGGAGAATTGAAGCGCTGGAGAGGAGGCTGCATATGAGAAACTAAATAATTTAGTGTATTGAGTTTTAATTTGCTTAAAAATAAAACCCTTGTAAAGTTCCCTAAAAAAAAAATTATGGCCACTATTGGAGAGGCCTTGCTTAGATTTAAACCTTGTTTAGATGACAGACTTTAAAAGCAAAATGTGTGCTTTGATATCATTCCACAAATCTGTTCCATTTCCTTTAACAAATGCTGACAGTATGAATGCTACAAATGATTTAATTTTATTGCTTTGCAAAGGAGTGCCAGTTGTGTGGTATGAGGGCTCTTCAGAGAAAGGCAGAGAGTTCTGTTCCACAGCAGTGCTTAATGTGTGATACCTTTTAAAACTGAGTTTCCAGGTGGACTAACCTCAGTGTACAGTATCAGAGAGGGGTGAGTTTACTGGATCTAAGAAGATAGGTTTGGGGTTTTGGAGTATTTTTCAAATCTCTCACACTTGGAATTGAGTCCTGCATGTTTTGAATTTGGCACATAGATACTATTGTAAGTTAGCTAACTTTCAAGTTAGTTAATAAAGTTAAAGTAGGGAGGGTTTTCAGCTTTCCTATGATATTACCATGAAGAAGTAATTTCATGCTATTGTGCTTATAGGTTAAAAATAACAGTTTGGTAACATTTGATTAAAAAAATTATGTGAGAAAGTAGTATTATCCAAAGTAACTATGAATTGCTAATTATATTTTTATTATAGCTTGCACAATTTGAAGTAGAGATTTTGGGCCTAGTCGTAAACTTGGTGGTTTTATGTCCTAAACATTTTTTTGATCTCATAATTCCTTTTTTCTTTCTCTGCTGTCTTATTTCTCTTTAACCAAAATTTTATGAAATAGTGAAAACTGAAACTCTCAAGCCTTAATATGTTTAATACAGGGCACACATTTTATGATTATTTTTATTGTAAATGATTATATCAGTTCCACTTCTGAGTATTACATAATAACTAATTCTTGAAGACTATAGGGATATCATTTAAAGAGTTTTTATAAGAAGGCCTTTATCAAAAGATTCAGCCATGCAAGAACTCCCAAATCTTTGAGGAGGGAGAAGGCCCTTTGAACCTGGGGCTGGTTTCACATTCTGATTATGACTACTAGCCAACCCTATTTGTGCTTGTGGGTTAGTGAGGTCAGAAGAAGAGGGAAAGGGGAGAGGTCAGGAGCTGATTGTGACCCATATTCATAGGTCCAAGTTTCAGGAGTTGATTCCTATCATGATTAGTCATTTTGGAAGCATCTGTGTGCACTTAAACCACATTACTTTCATTCTGAGTTATGTATTTGAGTTTTTAGCCTCTGAAAATGTCTAGAATTCAGGTTACTGTCTCCTAGGCACAGTATGCAGGGTCCAGGCCTCACTTCTTCCGTGGCTTTTCGGGCCATTGCATTGTGAGAGCCTGTAACCGGAATTGTGACCCTAAGCCGTAGAACGAAAGAGGCCTTGGAGATGAGAGTCCAATCAGTGGCTTGAAGCCCCAGTTGCATGTTAGAATCACCTGAGAGCCTTCAAAAAGTATCGATACCCAGAGAACCTGACTTAATCGTGCTGGTGGGTGGGTTAGTACTGTTTATTGTTCAGGGAGGGAGGGAGGCTTGACGTTTCTCAGGTGATTCTCATATACAGCCAGGATGAGGTTTGCTGATCAGCCCTTCATTTAATAGGGGAAGAACCTGGTTCTTGAAGTTAATGACTCTCCTAAGATCACACAGCTAGTTAGTACAAAGGTGATTAGTCGCCGCCGTTCTAGAGATCTTTGTTCTTAATCACACGGTTTTCCTCTTTAGATTTATCTTTTTTTAAAAGGTCGTTTACTAGGTAACTTGTGTAGCCTTAACATAAGTAGAGACTGTTTTCTTGAACAAACAAACAAACATATTTGCCTCTCAATCTAGTCTTGGTTATTATTTCAGCACTAGAAAGTCAGGTGAATGTTGATGGAGGCCGAGGAGAGCATCCTGTTCGTAGAGCTATCGAGTGCCTATCAGTCTGCGCATTTGGGAACTATGACGTGATAAAAGTGGCAAAAAAAAGAAAAGAAAAAAAAGAAAGAAAGATTGCATTTTAACAGAAAGAGGATGTTCTTGGTTAACTTGGGCTTGTCAGATACCTGCTGTGCATGGAGAAAGGTGATGGCTATCTCGCAGGTTCCCTCACCTCAGGCATTCAAGCAGAAGTGAGCAGTCAGATGTGGTGAAGAGGGGAAAAGGTTGCATTTCCTTTTATTCCCTTTAAACTTACTTGCACTGCGCCCATCATTACACTGCTGAGAGTGGTTCCTCCTGGCTGGGACAGACCTCTAGGACTCCAACGTGTGCCTGGAAAGGCCTGTTGACCACTTGTCTCCTACGTGCACGCACACACCTGCCTCGCCCCTGGATCAGGGCACCGCGATGGTGCGCAGCTAAGAGTTTCTGTGGTGGCTCACACAGTTCCACAAACGAAGGGTCCCGCTGCCGAGGGTGATTCTTCAGAGTCTGCCTTCGCAGGGTAATGTGCACTCATAGAGCGTCCTCCCCAGGTGAAGAGCGGAGGGCTGCCTGCCACATACATCTTGTTTAGGTGCCCACGGTTCCAGTTTTTTTCAGATGAATGCATTCAGTTCCTTTTCAACATACTGTACTAAGAAAATGTTATTTTAGCTGCCCTTTTATGGTTAAAAAAATACATATTTAAAGTTTCAAAATGACAAAGTCATCATAATCCCACATTGTCTCATAATTTTGACCTTAGTCACCTTTGGGGTAGCTCACCAAAGGGCCAGTGAGGGTGGTTGTGTGAGGAATCTTTCTTTTGCTGGCCCGTGTTGCCAAAATGCTATTTTGTAATTTCCTTTGGCAGTACTGTCACCGTCAGTGATTCTCAACTAACATACTTCCTCTTCCTACAGTAGCAATACACTAGGGGGACTGTTTTCCTCTTTTTCAAAGCTGTGTCATCGACCTGTGAAGTGAAGAAATTGGCCCTTTTGGACTTTGATCTGTGAGCCCTAGGTAGCCGAGAGACTCTTTAAAAAAAGAAGTGAAGTGTTTGTTTTGATATGTTTATCTCCTTAGAAAATGAAATGAAACTATGCAGACTTATTTTTAGGAGCTTTTAGGAGAGTTCTATTTTAAGAGACTGACACCATACAAGAACATCTTGTAGTTAAACTTTTTAATGCTCGTGATTCTTACTTAAAACCTGCAAGATATTTTTATTTGGTAAATTAACGAAGAGGCCTCGTCCCGCTAAAAAAGTCATTTACCTGCTCTGGAAAAGTTAAGCAGACTCCATCCATCCAAAGGTCTTGATTAAAAAATGCAAAAATAAAAGACTGCGTAGGCCTGTGAGTTCTGGTGAGGTATCCCACTTACCCATTGCTTATTCCTGAAGCTGGAGAGAGGATGGGATTTATTTTGCTGTCATACACACTGATCTTGCCTGTAGGGAACAACCTTGAACCTATTCTTGACTCCTCATTTTTCTCCACACCTTTTCCTGCATCATAAATTGAGGGTTCCTGAAGATTCACTGTGGCTTTTTGCTGCTGAAGAAGTAAGTACTTTGGGATGACACACATACAGGTGAGTGAGGGGTCAGCAGATATTACAGCTGAGGTACAGTAAGTGAGTAAAAGACTGGGAAGAGAAAATCTTTTTACCCATTCGCATCACATGCCATTTCATTCATTCGGCAAATATTTGTGAGAGGCATACTCTGTGCAGGGCGTTCTGCTGGCCCCAGAGATCTAGTAGTGAGTGGCACAAGACAAATAAGGTTTCAGTTCATAGGAGTTCACAGTCTATTGGGGGAAGGCAGAAAATAAACATGCAAAT